ACGTTTTGCAAATATTTCAAATGTCTGCTAAATATTTACAAAATGTACGATATTCGTTAAATATATAAAAAATATAGGACAAATATTTTGTGCTACTAAGGCTCGGGCGGGAATTTTTAAATTTTCTATCAATATATTGTAAGAGATGAAAAGACATTATAAAATAATAAAATTGGAGCCTCCATGCGCGTTGTAAGTAAAACATCTAAATTAAAGAGAGTTAGTGGATATTATGAAGCATTCTCAACTATTCATTCACGAAATGCCCTTTCACATTCAGTACAGAATGTTTTGAGCATAATGACTTTTCTATTTTACTATTTTTATTTCACTTTGAACGTCAATAATTAACTGAGAGAATAACACACATGTTACGTATTCTCTCATTCTCATCTCGCAAAGAATTATGTACTTTTAAAATTAATCAGTCATGTGACAGGTGTAATAGAAAAAGAAGTTGAATGCAGCGAGAAAAGTAAACATTAGCCATCAAACCAAAAAAGTTCCAGGTTACATAGGAAGTTAAACATTTGTATGAAACGAGTTTTCAATTCGATTTATTTATTATAATGGGAATTAAAAACTTTCGAATCATGGTGCATGCATGTTATATATATGTTAGTAATATCTACGTTTACATATATTCTTATGCTATACAATATCTATGCGTATATGCGTCGGTATACATGAAACCGGCTTTACCGACACGGGATCTGTAAGAAACAGCCAGAGTCAGTAAATGTACGCTTTTATGTTCGTTTTGGCACAAAAACGTCATATTGTCATTGCAAATCTTCTTCAAGGATAGACCCGTTCTAAAGGAATTTTCTAAAAAGAAACGTAAAATATGGTCGAAATACACTTTTTAATTTGGCGGTAAAAGAAAATCTGCTATGGCGAAAGAAAAGATGAAAAAGAAAAATTATTAAGAACACACTTTCTTAAAAGTACACATTAAAGAAGAGAATAAATCCAGTATCAAATGATGAAATCAAAATGTTATAATTAATTTCTTTTAATATATTAATAGCTGAAGTACGAATGTGATAAACGTTTATTTTTTGAATTATTTACAAAAATTCTTGACCTCCCGCGAATGCTAATATGTAAATATTCTCTGTCCATCAGTAACGTAATTTATTTTACAATATAAGTAAAATAGTATGCAAATAATAAAAAGTACCCATTTAGTGAGAATCGTTTTTAGTCACTTTTCAAGTGAACGATGGCACCTTCGATCGCGCATAGTTATGTTTGAATAGGTGGTTTTGTTGAGATATGTAGATAACTCCTTCTAGTGTAAACTTTCGCTATTTCCTTGTCGCCCATTATTAAACAGAAGTGACGCAGTTTCGTCTATTTCCGAATATTACCGTACAGGAAAATAAAACCAAATGTTTGTCAGCGTACAATTAACAGATGAAGCGTGCTTCCCCTAGTAGCATAGAATAATTTCTAAATATTTCTTTGTAATCTTTGCTAAATATCTCAAGCGACAGATTTTTTAAGATTTTTTGTAGATTCAATTCGAAGATATTTGAAATTTTTCCTGAAAATCTCAATGACATATTTAGTTTCAACAATTAATAAACATATAGAGAAATTATATTTTTTAACTCGTGAACATAATAAGAATTGTAATTTAAACAAATCTAATTTTAAATTTATTGATGAGAAATGTAATTTAAACAAATTTAATCTTAAATTAAGTGATGAGAAATGGTCTTCTTCGGAAGCGTATTGTTTCATACTATACAAATCGGTGGGGCTTTTATCACAAGTAAATTTTCAGATTTTTTGTTTTGTACGTTCTAACTGTATATAGTACTCTGCTCACAAAAATACTGCAACGCCTAACAATCAAAATTGTCCACAGCTGATAACCACATATACTATTTACCGTAATGATACGAGTCCATCGTCATATCTGAATAACTACCAACATTTTCTCAACCAGAATTGAATCTGTCTGTACATTATCTTAAGATTAAACATTAAATGTTATAATATATGTTAAACAATTAATTAAACAACACGCGTTAGCTTTTCACCCGCACGATTCGTTTAGATATTACGATTTTTCTGGTGAACGATGTATGTCAATAAAAAAACGTCAAAATCTGTGGTTGTGTGTCAGGAAAATTGCTAAATTTATTTCTTTGTCCCATTTTAACAATCTAATCAGATTCGGCGAAATTAAAATGTCGAATGCCAAATTAGAGCTTCTCGTCGGTCAGCACTGGACCGAAATGTTTCAGATCCCTTCGGGCTGATACGATTCTCGGTCGGTAATTGGATAATTAAATTCCTGAAAGACGTCAGACTTGACAGTCAGGTTGAGTCAGAGATCGGTATAAATAGCCACTCCAGTCTTTTTTCCGAATACCGGCATTACCGCTTCCATACGAGGAATCTTGTCCGCACATTTCCACATGCCCTTATGGTGCACTTGTATGCCTTTCCATGTACCGTGCGTGTACAGTGGCGGACATAAATGCCTTTCCTTCGTACACTGCCTGCACCATATCTGCAGGAAAGACATTCGAGCCCGTCAATATACATACTCCCTAGTAGCATAGAATAATTTCTAAATATTTCTTTGTAATCTTTGTTAAATATTTCAAGCGACAGATTTTTCAAGATTCTTGTAGATTTCATTCGAAGATATTTGAAATATTTCTTGAAAATCACAATGACACATTTAGTTTTAATAATTTAGAAACATAGNCTAAATACAGAAAAAAATAAGTGTAACGGAGGTTCATCTAACTGCTTCCAGGTACTTAAGGTAAATTCCCACACGGACAACTAGATATGGTATACGTATTATCTAATCATATATCTAATTTAAATATTATCTATAAGACAGCCGAAGGTGTTTTGAGGGGATTTAACTATAACCTTTATGATCTTAGGTAAATTAAGAAAAGTTGTTTAATTTGTACCAGGATATATTTGTTCCTCTTTAATGCGACCTCTAAGATACAGGTTTTAGTATACACATAGGCTCGTATATTGAAACTCTTGTAATTATGGATGTACTCTTGAGCCTCAGGGCCACACGTTCACCTCGCCGATCAGGATCTATCTAGTTTAAGTAGAATCTAAATTCAATGAACCTAAACAATATTCCCGTAAGTATGTTTAGAGAGTACTTACTAATGTTGCTGCCAACTAATTCTTAAATAAATAAATCGTATCATATTTGCACTTAGAATGTACAATTATGATGTAATCAAAAGCTTGAACACACTAAAAGCACAATTAAATAAAAACATATTCTATATTTATACATTTAATACATTTAAAATGTAATGCACTTTTACATAATAACTTTATTCAAAATTAAAGTAAGACAAAATTCAGCTTTAAATCAATATTAAATTTATAATGTCGAATGAAATGTTTATTAGCAAAGTGCATACTTAAAAATATAGCAAATTATGAATCAACAGTAATGCAAAATTAAAAACGCAAATTTGTTAACATGTTACTTTAAATTGATTTTATAATTTTATCATTTTAACACCTTATGGTCTCAAATAATGAATTTGTGCACGTAATTCATTACTTTGAAATATCCGACTGTAGAGATCGTCGAGGGTCTCGAATATTATTTATTAACCAACTTTAATGACGAATATTAAACTCGCAACCTTCAGCTCGCATCGACAGTCTGGTAACGACTGACTGTTGGTTCGTCGCGCGACCTACAGGAGCGCCACATTCCGTTATTCTCGTTGGCCTTAGTACAAAACTGCACATGAAAAACAATTATATTAACAAGTTCCGAGTGTACTTAAATTATTGAATGGTATTATACTAACATTAATTTCAGAATATCATTATATTGTCTCACAGTGAATGATGACATTAGGATTCTAATGGCGCGAAATAATAAATATATATATATATATATATCAATGTGTTTCAATGAACTAATTGATACAAAAAAAGTAAATTAATTGCAAAATGCACCTAAAATCAATATTAGTAACAAGAAGAATGCTTGAAAAGTCAACCGAAAAGGCCGCTGAAAACCTCGCGCACTGAGAATGAAAAGCTCATCGCTATGTTTGGTTAAAAATTAAATGAAAATAATTGATCCTTAAACATTTAATACGACATCCAGTAAAAGGTAGCATGATTTATCGTATTTAATATAATGTTATTTTCATTTCCATGTTCCAGGCGTACATTTCTTGCGCGCTAGGAGTGCACAAAGTCGGCTACGTCATGATCTGCTTCGGAGTCGTAAACGCGGCATGTTCGCTGCTTTTTGGCTCAGCAATGAAGTTTGTCGGAAGACAACCCCTCATGGCCCTTGGAGCCCTTGTACATGCCGCTCTGGTTGGGGTACTTCTTGTTTGGAGGCCACATCCAGATAACCCTTACGTCTTTTACACGGTTTCCGGTCTCTGGGGGGTTGGCGACGCTGTCTGGCAGACGCAAGTCAATGGTAAGTACCACTTGGTTAAGTGATATTAAGGTGAAGTGAAACCCCCTTCAAATCAGTCGATTCGAATACAACACTTTTTTTTAAGGGTATTAGATCAAACTGTCCGAAACTTTGACACGTCACTCCTGATCATTTAAGAATTGTCTTGACACATTCAAAATTTGGATCTTTGGAAATAAATTTTTAACTTAGCCCAGACCAGAACCAAAATGGCGTCCAGCTCTCATATTTCGATCAATATACAATTATCGAAGGCTCTGATATGAGAATCGAAAGGGTCAGGACAATTTTACGACAATTTAGAACACTCTGGTAATCGATAAACTCGAATTTGAACGAGATAAAGGTAAAAAAAGTGTTGTATGGGCTTCTATGCTAAAACGATGGGAATAAGAGGTCTTGGCGTGAAAATTTAATTGACCTGCAAATCACAGATGGCGCAGGGTGTCCCTCTGCAGCCAATTAGGGCCCCAGAAAGCATGAATTCAGAGGATTTCTGGAGTTTTACTTCGATTTCTTTATAATTATTGTACGAAAACAACAGATGGAGTATGCCATTTGGTACAATGCCCAATATAATTCGATACAACTGTCAATATAAAAACAAATGTAGGCATTTAGAAAATTCTTCTTTATCGACGTTGATCAAGTTCCTCAACGTGTTTCACTTCACCTTAAACATCAGATCTCATTCGGCAAGTTCGTTCTAATTAGTCTATTCCAGATAGGCGGAGTGATAAACTCCAGGATTTTTTACGTTTGTGCAATAGACACCTCGAGTTAGAAATTTGTGTACAATGCCCTTCGACAGAAGATGGGGTGGATCTATTTATTGAAAAAGGGGCGGTGGAGGTGCCGCCATTGTGAGCGTCGGGAAATGTGGGTCTCAGGAATAAACCGTGATAAATAAACCAACATTTGTTTAGACAAAGTATTTAACATAGCAATTACCGGGTATCCGGATTCAACAGTACTAACACGCTGTAAAACCCTGGCTCAAACGGGAACCAACCCAAGGCGAAAAAAACCAAAGTAGATGACTTATCGAAAAGATGTTACCTCCATCATTGCGTCTATTTCAATATACGTAATAACTTTATTTAAATAGAAGACATAGTAAATCTTTGTAAATATCTTTTATAAGGCATAAATTCGGAATTTCGGTCTCACGCTAAAAATCCTGAGAAGACATTTGATTGATAGGACATCCGATGACGTCATGTTATGACCGACGTCATCGGACCTGAAGATATTTTGTAGTGTTCGAGCATGGCGTCCCAAAATGAGAACCCCTACTGTTTGCTGATTAGTTATACATTCGGTAACGTACTCAAAGGTCAAATCCACGAATCTCAGAGTAGAGTTTTATTCTTTTCGGTTACTTAAACGGACACCAAGAGAATATATTTCTTGGAACTCTGACATAAGATTTATCTGAAGAATAGCAAAATTGAACCCCCCACATTATGAAAACGTGCTAGGGTTTTTTAACCCTCCGTTCCTACCCTGCAAACCTAAATGCGAAACTAAATACAGAAAAAAATAAGTGTAACGGAGGTTCATCTAACTGCTTCCAGGTACTTAAGGTAAATTCCCACACGGACAACTAGATATGGTATACGTATATAGGATATCTGGCTAAAACATTCAGATGTGTAATAGATGTATACAAAAGTATACGGAATGTGCTGGGGCATGTACAAATGTCCGCGCCGTCAACGTATAGTATATGTATTTTTGACCATTCCACTTTTATTTAATATACATTCCGTATGGATAAAGTATGTATATTATATGTAAACAAGATATATGGTAGACGTATTATGTATAGTAGACGTATATAAGATATCTATTCACGTATAATATTATACGTACTTTATACATATATAAGACGTATTCCAAATGTAGGTGGAATAATTTAAAAAAGTATTATTTATTTTGCACTAAATGCATTTTTTTTAGAAACAATTTACCACGATCTGTTTAGGGACCTGAAATCTTCGAGATATACAAATATCTGACATTGAAAAAATCCTCAATGGTGGTGACCGGTATTGGAACCCGAATCATTTGGGTAACAAAGACTATAGTAGTACTAACCACTGAGCTACCGTAGTCATATGGATCATGCGACACGTTTCGCATATTAAAACACCACAGTAATAAGTTTAATTAAAATTTGGTTTAATCAATATCATTTATATTGCCAATCT